AGCTGAGCTTACACAATTCTTCCAGTGTTGCCACTTTGGATCTTTTATATCTAAATTTAGATCTTTTCCATTGCATTTAGATATTGTTTTTGACTTTTAGACCGTAAATATTTTTCTAGATTCTTTTTATGCGGGTTAAATATTTTATAGATTTTTTTTTCTTTCAGTGTCAATTGAAATAAAATATTTACTACACTGTTTTTGTTTTGGTCTGGCACGTACATTGTGATAACTGCCATTACTTGAACTTTGAACTCTCACTGGGGTCAACGCACAAATATCTGGCAGCCCCGGTACTGATTAATAAAAACGCGCGTAAATCATACTAACTTTGTTTCAACCATATCTCACTGTGCTGACTTTGTGTTTCATTTTCATGTGATTTAAAAAAAAAATACTTGCTCACCTTCATGTGTGGCTTTCACTTTGAAAAAACCTTTCAACATGCCAAAAGTAAAGTATGAGCACAAAATTTGGAAAGAGTGGTTGCATGATGACAAAATTAAAAACTGGGTGATGGCAGTTCCTGGGGATATGACCAAAGCTCGTTGTAAGTACTGCAAGTGCGAAATTAAAGCGAAAATACAAAACTGAAAGAGTCATGCTGAGACTAAAAAAGCATAAAACTGCAGTTCGATTTAACGATATTACACCGCTGACATCTGTTTTCAGAACTATACTGATAAATGAATCATCAAAAGTTGCAGTACCAGTCGCAATGTTTTTAATTTGTCACTGTGCAATTTCAAACTGTGACCATTTGATCGATTTGTTAAAAAACCTTTGACTAGTTCAATTGGAAAAGTGTGATGTAGAAAGTATAGTTTAGGAACTGAAGGACCTTTTCATCAGCAAACATTTAGGCTTGAAGAATTCGGCTGCAATTGGTACTGGTAATGCCTCAGTAATGGTTGCTATAACAAACAATGGCGTTTATGCCATGTTGAAGGAAGCTATCCCATCGTTACTACTTATAAAATGTATGCGTCATTCATTGCAGGTAGCATTATCACATGCTTCATCTAAATATTTACCAAGGAATTTGGAATACCTTATTGCTGAAACACTTTACTGGTTTTCCAAATCATTTGTCACACAACAGCAATACAATACATTATATTCATTCATTCAGTAGCATGTCCCTCGCGGAACCTTGCTGCCATTACAACCCTCCGGAAAACCTTCCTATCCTGAGCAAGATGTCCTGCGTCTGATACACCCATCTGGAGATCATCTGCCACATCCTGCACCCATCTTCTCCTTGGCCTTCCTCTTCCTCTCTTCCCAGGCATATACCCCTCCATTATTGTTCTCTCTAGACTTCCATGACGTTTCAAGTGACCAAAATATTTCAATTTTCTTTGTTTTATTGTCTTTACTAGCCAACCCTCTTCAATATTCAGCTCTTGAAGTATGGATGCATTTGTTCTTTTCTTTACCCAAGATATTCTTAAAACCTGTCTGTAACATTTATATTCAAATGCATTTATGCGCTGTTCCGCTTGTTTAGTAAGTGTCCAGGTCTCACATGCGTATGTTGCAATGGGAAAGATGCATGCTCTTAAAAATCTGACCTTTGTAATTCTATCTGTACAATTCCATAATTTATTCAGTTGTTTTAGTCTTTGAAGAGCAATTCTTCTTCTTCTTCTTCGCGTTCACCAGCTGTAAACTCTGGCAGAAGGTTCTGGTTGCTCGTCCACTAATGAACTGCAGTCCTGTTTCAGAACCTGAATGTTGCATGTGCATCAGTTTTACAGATCTCATTCTCTTGAATACAGACTGTTGGTTCCTTGCCTCTCCGGCAGATGCACTCCGACTTCAAAGGAAGCTCCCCAATTAGTCGACTCTTACGACATGCTTATGGGGAGGCAGTGGGTCTATTCTTGTTTTCCCCCACAATGGGGCCCCGGAACCCAGACGGGGGGAAGAGCAATTGATAGTCGCCGTTTAATTTCTTTCATTGTGTCACCATTGTTGGTAACCAGTGACCCAAGATATTCGAAATTTTCCACCACTTCCAATCTTTCCTCATTAACATATATTTCCTTCTCCATGGCAGTTTTGTTTGTATGCATTATCTTTGTTTTTGCTATGTTAAGAAATAAGTTATGATTTTCGCTATTTCTTTGGAGTGAGGTTAATAAGTTTTCTAAACCATTTTGTGATGTTGATAGTAATACTGTATCATCAGCATAACGAATTTCTGGTATTTCATGACCACCGATGTTTAGGGCATCTTATTGTTCCTTGTTTATATCATCTTTTACATTTCTCATTATATTTTTCGGCGTACAGGTTGAACAAATACGGTGACAGCACACATCCCTGACGGACTCCTTGCTTGATGCCAAACCAGTCTGATGTCTCTCCATCTATTCTGACTGCTGCTTGTTGGTCTTGATAGAGCATTTTAATGAGCCGCACTATATGTGACGGAAAGCCCATATTCCTCATGATTTCCCAAAGCTTCTGATGTTGTACACAGTCAAATGCTTTTGAATAATTTGAATAATCCACAAAACATAAGAACAGATTTACATTAAATTCTCTACACTTCTCTATTATTAAACGCATGTTGAATATATGATCTCTTGTTCCTCTTCCCTGTCTAAATCCAGCCTGAGCCACATTAATCTCTTCTTCCATTTTCTATGCAGTCTTCTCATTATAATTTTTAGTAGAATTTTACTTGCATGACTGATCAGGGCAATAATTCGATAGTTTGTACATAATTTCAGATCACCCTTTTTTGGTATTGGAATGAAGATAGTTCTCTTCCAGTCTTTTGGCCAAATACCATATTTCCATATCTTTTCACATAATGCATGATAGATTATACATTATATACAGCCTTGAATGATGGTTCCACACTACCGAAAATTCTGTCAGATTGCAAAACTAGATTGTTATCAATTAAACTAGCTGTTGAAAGAATTATGAAGCAATGGTTGAAGCTGAAGATACACTTTGAAATAACAAGACAAAGTAATAAGTGCTTCACAGCTGAAATACTATATGGAATGTACAGTGATGAAAAAAATTTGTCATTCATTCTCTTTTTATAACCTATTCTAATAGAAGTGCAAACAAGTTAATAAACTGTTCAATTCTAAACATGTTGATAAAGTTAAATTACTTGATGATCTCACTTTGCTATTTCACTAAGCTGGTAAAAGACTGGTGTTGCTAACTTCTAAAAACTGATTTGCTCACTTGTACTATAGAGAACTATTTGGCTCCCAAGCCATACCTTGGTTATCAAATTGAATCAAAAATTGATGATTTAAAAACAAAAGGACTGTTAACAGAGAATGAAGAGAACAACTTAAGAAAACGCTGTCAAGATTTCCTTATCTCATTATTCAAGCAACCGAAGCAGAGACTTCCTGAAAATCTAGATTTTGAAAAATATTTCACTTTTTTTTTCTGTGAGCAACATACTTCAGCCAAAAAAGGACATACCTAAATATTATAACGTTATGAAATTTGTACGGGCTACTGATAATAGTGTCGTTGAAGCAGAATATCAGTTAACCAAAATAAAGTTAGCTGAATGGACAAACAAAACAGAAACTAAAGCGTTTTGGAGTGAAGTGAGTCAATTTAAAGATGCCTCATCAAACAGTCCATTCTGTAAGCTCTTTTAAAGTGCTATGTCTGCCATGATACTATCCAATTCAAATGCTGACGTAGAAAGTTTTCAGTGCTTGGAATTATATCAAATCTAACCTAAGAAACAGGATAAAATTTGACCTCTTAAATGCTATCGTGCCATTAAAATTCGGCCTGATGAGAGCCTACTGTTCCATTTATACAGAAATTTGAACAGCTAAAGTATACCAGGGTCATTTTGGATCTGAAGCTTCAACTTCATTATCCAAGCTAAGTTTATCCTGTGGATCTTGTGAGGCAGACAGTGAAGATGAGGACATGATTATGTAGGGTAAATCATAACAAAAGCTATGTAATTTTTGACTTTTTCAAATTGGATGTTTTTTTAAGATCTTTTCCACGCAGATTTAGATCTTTTCAGATATTTTTTGACACGTTTTGGATATTTTTGTGTCAAAGAAAAGTGGCAACACTGCATTCTTCCTCTGCCTTTTATCTCTCGAGTTGTAGGTTATCCACGTCGAGTGCTAACGGTTCCGGCTTTAATTCCCTGTAAGGCCTGGGATTTTTTTTTTCACGTGGTCTTAGACTTCTAATTATTCCCCATGGTCTCTGGGTAGTGAGATCGGACCACGTGTGCATTGTTGCGCACGTAAAAAAATCCCTCGGCAGTTGGAAATCAAAAAAGAGTAGCTAACGGCGCGACCCGGGAAAAATTTCCAGTTAAAAATCTACCAAAAGTAAATCAGGATCCTCGCCGGTGCTACAGAGCCTTTGCACTGTTCACTATTCTTCGGACTCAGACTTGAGTTAAAGGAAGAACGGGGCACTTATGCACCCGTGTGCCATGATGCTGATCCGTTTCTCAAAACCTCAAACCTATTTAGCCATCTGCAACTAACAGTTCGGAAATTTCTTCCTCCGTCTGATTTGTTGCATAAATTGTCAATGTATGTTATGAATAGTAGGGAGAAGATAATCACATCCCCTTAAGAGGGATGTTTGATGGGATGATATGATGTGCTTAACAACCAGTTTTAAATAAACTAGTATTGTATTTATTCGAAATGAAATATGCTGATAAAGACCAAACATCAATGAATCAATGTCTGCCCTAAGTGCTATGATGCCGATTCTTCGTCAAGATATGAAGTACGTGTATGTAGCATTATATTATTCTTGTTATATATTAGCGTTACAGCATACATGAATATATTTTTAACCGCTTTGGCCTTTTAAGTATAATAAAATACGTTATGATCTCCCATACATTTTGTATCGTTTCTCAGCAAAATCGAATCTCAAGGTGTGTTAGTCTTTTGTATGGCACAACTTTCGTTTCACAAATATTTAGCCGATGCATGCCACAATTTTAATAAACAAATATGGCCGCTTCCTCCGCTGCGGAAAATGAGTTAAATATTTTACCTTCCGTTTATGAGGTTATGAAGAGGTAGGTTCTCTACATTTATTGTGTTTGCAGCCATTAGTTTTCCCCCAGTGTGCTTAATAATATAATGTGTGTGATTACACTTGTAGAGTTGTAAATGTAAGTATAAATTTAAAAAAAAAGTATATATATTTGACCAGACAGGTCATATTTTTTTTTTATTTTGAAATTCTAGCTACTTCAGTCAAATTTTTAAAATGCCCTCTACACCAATAAAACCAGCACAGTTAGATAGCTGTAAACAATCTCTTTCCAATGGTACCTCATTTAGGCTTGTATGTCATTTCTGAGCTGAGATATGTAGGTTTTTGTGGAGATGAGATGTAAGAAACAGCCGCTAAAACTTGTGACCCAGAAACAAGAAGTTTTTTACTGCGCAACCTACTGCGCAGTTCTGTATCGGCTTTGTTGACATTGGACTGTCATTGGACAAGATGGCAGGCAGTGAGACTCAGCTCACTCAGCCGCATGCGATTGCCTAAAAAATGTCACTGTAAATCTAAACAGCCAGAGTCGGGAAAAAAATTTTTATATGCAAATGTAAAATTGGACGGAGAATTCAATTGTAACTAGCATTACCACAACTGGTAATGTTTAAGCCTAAAGCCAACCTCGAATTTACCGCTATTTTCAATCAAACTGATAGACTAACAGAAAAACAGAGAATGTCCGGCTGTCGTAGACATGCGCTGTTAATCGGGTTCCTTCCCGCCGTTTTCAGCTATTTAGAGTGGGTGAAAATCACACCAATGGCAAAATTTCATGAGAGATTAGGACCCATCCCGAAACCCCAGCCGACATTTCCGAAACAAGTTTTAAACGGTTTCTATGGTAACGGAAATTGTCGAAAAGATAGCAAATTTCCGGATCTGTGGTCCCTAGAAATTCAAAATAAAAAATTAAAATGACCTGTCAAGTTGTCACAACTGATTGAATTTTATTAGTAATTCAGTTACTATATATATTGTTCATTGTTGATGAAATTAACTTGATGTTCACTATCTAGCCAGTCCATGACTGCATAGAAGTAACTACTAAAGGCGTGCTGTGCTCTCAAGTCATCTCCCAGCAAATATTGTAATGTAATGTAATAATAATGCAGGCATCAGCGCGTGGATTAGTTATAGTAGCTACTTCAGTAAAATTTTTAAAATGCCCTATACACCAATAAAACCAGCACAGTTAGATAGCTGTAAACAATTTGGCTCTATTGGCAAATCCGGACGAAGAATAAAAAGCCTTGGACGACTTAGTCAGAGTTCTCTCCCTTGGCCGCACTCCAAACAGTGATCGGAAAACAAACGAAACAAACGACACACTTACCTATCATCCTGCAGTTGCGTGTAGGGCTGCGTACGGTTGCGTGAGGCACCGTGGCATCATCAAATGGTTGCGTGCAGGGTTGCGTACGGTTGGGCAAGGCATTGTGAATGGTTGTGTAGTCATCATCATGCGGTTGTTGGATTAGAGTTAGGGGTAGGGTTAGATGTGAGAATTTTGACGTAGGATTTCGAAATACTGGCCGGCAATATGATGTTTGTGGGAGTGGCGCCACTGAAACTCTGATAAATATGACGCCAATAGCGTGAGGCTGGTGCCCCCAACGTTGGCGAATTGTGCGTGTAACCAGCATCCAGAGGCCCTCGATTGTTTGTGTGTGTGTATGGGACTGTGCGCGATTATAGGGAACTCCGGCGTCAAAATTGTCAAATCTAACGCTAAACCTAACCCTAATTCTAATCCTACTCCCTAACCCTAACCCCTACCCCCTAACCACGCAAATTTATCGATCATTAAAGCATACAAATCGGCAAACACCAACAAACACAACACACCCAAAAAAAAAACCACCCAGAATTGTCCTGCAGCGTCGACAAAAAACCCAGATCTGGGGGAAACAACCAAGCATTGGCAGCCCTGATGTCGACGTGACTGTCTTCTTTGTTTCGTTGTGGCTTTTCCGATCACTGTTTAGAGCGCGGCCACGGGAGAGAACTCTGACTAAGTCGTCCAAGGCTGTCTACGTCCGGATTTGCCAGTAGAGCCACAATTTCTTTCCAATGGTACCTCATTTAGGCTTGTATGTCATTTCTGAGCTAAGATATAAAGGTTTTTGTGGAGATGAGATGTAAGAAACAGCCGCTAAAACTTGTGACCCAGAAACAAGAAGTTTTTTTCTGCACAACCTACTGCACAGTTCTGTATCGGCTTTGTTTACATTGGACAAGATGGCAGGCAATGAGACACAGCCACTGGCTGAGCCAGCGATTGCCTGAAAAATGTCACTGTACATCTACCTAGCCACCGTTCAGAAAGAAATTTTATACACAAATGTAAAATTGGACGGAGAATTCAATTATAACTAGCATTACCAGGACGAGTAACAGTTAAAGCCTAAAGCCAACCTCGAATTTACCGCTATTTTCAATCAAACTGATGACTAACAGAAAAACAGAGGACGTCCGGCTGTCGTAGACATGCACTGTTAATGGGGTTCCCTCCTTCTGTTTTCAGCTATTTATAGCTGGTCCAAATTCCCACCAATGGCAAAATTTCATGAGAGATTTGGACCCATCCGGAAACCAGCCGAGATTTTCCGAAACAAGTTACGAACGGTTTCCGGGTAACGGAAATTGCCGAAAAGACCGCCAATTGCCGAACACTGTAGTCGCTAGTTATAGTTATTAATATTATTAGTCAGCCAGTCCATGACTGCATAGAACTAACTAAAGGCGTGCTGTGCTCTCAAGTCATCTCCCAGCAAAAGTATAGACATAGTAATATTGTAATAATAATGTAGGCGCCGTCAGCGCGTAGATTAGTTATAGTTATTATTAGTCAGTCAGTACATGACTGCATAGAACTAACTAAAGACTTTCTGTGCTCTAAAGTCATCTCACAGCAAAAGTATAGTAAAATAGGATATTCATCAGCGCGTGGCTTAGTTATTTTTAGTCAGTCAGTACATGACTACATAGAACTAACTAAAGACTTTCTGTGCTCTAAAGTCATCTCCCAGCAAAAGTATAGTAAAATAGGATATTCACCAGCGCGTGGCTTAGTTATTATTAGTCAGTCAGTACATGACTGCATAGAACTAACTAGAGACGTGCTGTGCTCTCAAGTAATCTCCAAGCAAAAGTATAGTAATGAGAATATAGGATATTAGTCAGTGCGTGGATAAGTTATTATTTAGTTTAGTCAGTCAGTCCATGACTCCACAACATAGTGTCAAAAGGCTTATATTAATCACTAACTAAAGGCGTGATAATGCTTTCTCTCAGGTCCCCTCCCAATAATAGTAAAAACTATGTTATATATTTATCAATGATCTACACCACAGTTTACTTTCTTGACATCAGGATGAGCATCGATTACCCGTGTCTGAAAACCACAGCCTACTAAAAACCCACGGATCCTCACAGTTATCTCCTCTATACGTCTTCTCACCCACTACTGTGTAAAAATTCTATTCCATATTCACAGCTCCTTCGATTGCGCAGGTTGTGCTCTGATGATTCTGGCTTCTTTGATAAATCAGTTGAACTTCTTGAATTCTTCCGTGCCCGGTTCTATCCGGAACACATTCTACTACAAGGGGCTCTAAACAAAGTTTTAGCAATCACCAGGGGAGATGCTTTGCGGTTCCTACCAAACGTAACTCTACCAATGATGGACCTAAATTGATCTTGACTTTTCACCCTAACAATGTGGTTGCTTCCAAAGTATTCTTTCATCATTTGGACAACCTCCGCTCTGATCCGGACACCAAGATTATCTTTAGTGAGAAACCTAGATTAGTTTACAGACGAGACCGCAACCTTAAAGACATACCTGTCCGAAGCCGACTCCCACAGATCCACACAGCTAATGACACCCCTTAGACATCTACATACTCTCCATTCCTCGTTTGGCCGAAACGTTACGTTGTGTTGTTTTGTGCACGTTTTTCTCTTTCCCATTTTGTTGAGCTTTTTAGTCAAATTTCTCTGGACCTGGAATTCATTATATTTATCAACGCGTGGTGACTTACCTATTACACTTACACATGTGTTGGTGTTTGTTTACTTGACTTGGCTATCCTCCGAGTTACGGCCACATATTATTATGGCCGCCAAAAACGGCCTCAGTCACATTTAAATTGCGCACTTCCGGCATCTCCTGCCACCGCCGAGAGTATCTCCCACGCAGCTAGGCGCGGCGGAGATTTGAGGTTTAACTAGAAGGCTGGGATTCACGAGCAAAGATGCAGGAGATGCGGTTCCAATATACGCCAAAGAAGAAGCGCATGGGCATTCACAGCACGCTCAGCGGGCAGAACAGTCAAAGAAGCCAACGGCGCCTTCTTCATGACAACCAGCAGCATGATGATGGAGGCGATAGCAGTGATTCAAGCGTTTGCCTGGCTTGAAACACAAAAATACACCCACGTATTCAATGAGTATGATCCAGAGGGTTCAGGCAGGTTCAGTGCGAAGACAATGGCTTGAATTATTACAGAAGTCCACTGTGAGTGGAGTCACCTTTTTTTTGTTCCAGGACACGCACGCGTTGATGGAAATGAAAGAGCTGACAGGTTGGCTGGATCCGCTATCACTACCGAGGGACAGCCTATGGATCATGCTGATATTATCAATGCCCTCAGAGAAATGGGAAGGATAGAGGATTTTGGTGGCAGTAAATCCACATCACTCGCCAGAATAGTAGACGGGAATTAAGATCGGCACAGCAAAAAACGAGACGCACACCAGACACGCCAGAATTGTTAATCAACATAGAACTGGTACTGTTAGCCATCGGACGTTAGGGTTCATACTGAGGGGAGGATCTGAGCACCTATGGACATGTCCGGAGTGCAATGATGATAACCCAACTAACTAACTAACAAATTCATGTTTTTTATTCATAAATTTCGTGAACTTTGCAGATGAAAAAGAAATTTTTTGCCAAAATCATGACAATATTTTATAAGAATTTTACACTTCAGGCTTATCCTGAACGTTTTGGCCATCATTTTCAGTGTGTTACCATGCAAATAGCGAGCCACTGTGGTGTAGCAGCTAGACACTTTCATGTGCTGATTGGTCTATAAAATTTAGGTCAGTTAGTACATGCCCAATATGGCTAAAGGCAGGAAAAAGGGTCCTTTACTTTACTGGACCTGTTGTTTCCTGAATTCATCTGTTCGTCATAGTTCACTCATTAGATGCACCAACATTACCAGCTGGGTTTATTCACCGACTAGATGTCATAATTGAGGTCTCAGAGCAAGTATACTTTCATGCAAGCTCCCTCCGTATATATCTGACGCTAAGCTCATCTGTCCCCCTCTCCAGGATTTAAACTATCCTTAAACTTGACAATTTATCTGACTTCTTTAAAACCTAGAGCCTTATGTTTGGGTAACCTCAGACATTGACTACTACAGACACTTCAAACAGCTGGTATCAAAACTGTACTGTATTGTAAATATCTTTCGCCAGCTTTTCCATCATAACTACATTTTAGCCTGTTATATTGTTTATCTCATTCAAATCCAGTCTGCCATTGAGTACTTTATGAGGTTGGTAACCTCCCTGTCTGTCTTCAGAATCTTATATAACCACTGTTCTATGTGTACCTGCTGTTTCTCACACAGACTATGGTTCTTGGTTCAATATTTGTCCTATACCATTTCTTTTCTTGTCTTTCTAATAATTGTTGGGACTTTGATGAAAAATTTAGCTGTCACAGTACTATCACCCTGGAGAAATTTTTGTTATATGTAGAAAAGTGTGATATGGAGTTCAAGTTAGGTCTGTAGGCTCAGTCTTGGAGTAATACTAGATATGATTATGGAGTCCCCTGGCTATGCTATTTATATTGCTTAAGCTGAGGGCAGCATCTACCCGGAGGGAGCCTCATCAAACATGGCTGGGAAGTATTTAGAGGTGGCAGAGGATGTGGGGCATATATTACAACCAGCCTTCCCTGTCAGAATAGTATCTGGTGGTAGTGAAAGCTTTCGAAAATACTTTTTATGCAGAGGAAGCACAGCTCATTCTGTTTTCATAAAACACCTGTAACTTTTCAGAACTAATAATTTTACTAGTTTATTGTAGTTATTGGTGAATAAAAGAAACAATAAAGCAGAAGGCAAGGAGATAAAGACCTTGCTGGCTCGACCACATTAATGGCGTCGGATGAGAACACTGACCACATCTGTGAATCTCATGATCGTGTAGGATGACATACCTTAAAAGCATCTGCTTTTTGGCAAGGCATATGATGTTTATGATGAGTTTATTGTCACTGCCCTTACACATTGTATAATAATGAACACTCTACAGCAAAGTTGTTTACATTGACTAAGTACTGGGAGGTGTGTGTGCTCTAATATCTGGACATTCTGTTTTCTCCTCAGCATTGAAAAAGACACAAATGAAGTTGCCCAGAAAATGATGGAATTGAAGTCTCAGTTCCAGAAAGCAAGAGAGTGTATTGATCGACTTCCAGGTACCCAGCATAGTCCAGAGGAGCAAGTCAGACTGAAGTCAGTGCTTCATCAACAACTGCTTATTAAAACTAAACTTCTGTCAAGTTTTAAAACAGGACACCATTTTGATTTTGATTCCAAGACAAATGGAGACCTGTCTAGAAACAGTATGAACTAATGTGACATTTAAAAGTAAAGACAGCTTGAGTGACACCTTTTCAGATATTTGAGTGAGATAGGTGTTGAACTTTTAAAATAAGGATCTGCATTCATAAATCATTTCATGGATCCTAAACCACAACTGACAATGAAAGAAGTGAGTAACAGTGCAGAATTACATCCAATATTCACAAGGGATCCAGCTGATTGGATGAAGTGGGTGGATCATGAGGTGCAAGTTAGCACTGAAGATGGGGAAGTGCATGTTGGTCATGTATACACAGTGGATCCTGTGTCTGAGAGTATCTTGCTTATCACTCAAGCAGACGCCAACTTGGAAGCATCTTCAAGTGTATCCTTAAAACTACTGATCGGGGCATCTGTTAGGAATGTGAAGATTATTTCTGAGGGCACAGAAAAGGTCAAACACAAATTCAACCACCTGTTTCGCCCAGCAGAAAATGTCAATTTGAACGAGGAGGATTTGATTGCCCGTAAGCTGAAGCTGAAGTCCTGGCTAGAGAAGCATCGTCTTCCAGTGACACTAGGTGGCATCAGTGGGCAGTACTTAACGGTTGCTGATGCTATTACTGTACAGCCACCTTACACAGAGGACAGCTGTATTAGCACAAATGAAATTGTCTTATCACGTATCCAGGGACTTATTAAAAATATGCCCGTAGATGAACTGTGAAGGGCACATTATTTTGCGTGATGCTGGAACATTGTATGTTATTTTATATGTAAAATACAGTGTCTAAATATTCAAAGGACATGTTTACACTGGAGTTATTGTTTAAAAATAGATTAGTTTTAATTAACTTTGTGTGAACAAATCGTTTTCCTTTGATTTTAACGTTAGAATGGATGTTTGGTATCCTATGCTTACATTGATATTTGTTACTTTTAATTGTTGTTGAGTTAACTAGATTAAACTGGATAAAAACTGACTGCATATGTTTTGCTGTTCTGTCAAATTAAAAATTTTACATACAGATATTGAAGTCAAACAATATAAGGTTTAGTGACTTCAATAATGAGACCTGACTTATCTCATGTGGGACTAATCAAAATGTGAACATTTTAAAGTATTTTGGGGTCTCCTCTCTGCAGAAGATGGTCTATTATGTAAGTAACCTGTTCCACAATGACTTGTTTCTCCCAAAAAAAAAAACTTGACTGCATAAAAGTGTCTAGTAACTTATAGTAATGCTGAAAACAATGGAAATGTTATTTCTAAGAAAAGAGCTTAGAATATGGGATGGCAGAAAAAAACAAAGGAAGTTGTCTTCCTTGAGATTTATATTTAAAAAAAAAACAGATTAGAGAAATTACATGAGAATTCAAGATTTACTCTAACCTGGTGACAGTTAGTAAACTTGATGGGAAAAGAGGAAGGGGGTGAACATAGTTGATTACACGTTTGCTTGAACAAGATAAAAAACTCTGGCCTAGAGCTGAATTATGGTGATTATGTGAGATTACAAACACTTGTCCAGCACATGGTGATGATAAGTGGGGGGGAAAATATATTGAAAAGAAGAACTGAATTGTTCTCATTGCTAATCTAATACTTGTACAAAAATTCCAGCTGTTTGGGTGAATGTTGCTGTGTATGAGAGCCTGTTGAGATGCTGTTATTATGAACACTATAAATTATTTCCTGTATATGATGTGTTAGTGAAAAATACAATGGTATAGACTTATAAGAAGATCAAACGGCCTCTCAAAAACAATACTGCATGGCTCAGTAGAGGGGAGGAGGAGAAGAGGTACACCAAAAAAGACCTAGTTACAGAACCTGACTGACTGGACAGGCCTCAAACATGCACCTGACCACCAACGGTGGAGAGAGCTGATCAAACAGTTAACAGAAACTGGTGACCTGACATGCAGTGTTACAGCATAATGATGTTATTTAATTTGATTCAAGAACCGACATCATAGTACTCGGGGCATTCCCATAAGCGCTCCATCCCCATCTTCAGCAGCCAGCAAAGAGTTCTGATAATAATGGTACCAGTAGCGTTTTAATTAAACGTCCGTTTCGTCTAGCCTCGAGCATCTGCCAGAACCTCTCGTCACTCCCCCATCTGCTCCTCTGAACTGTACATGCTCTCCCACAAGGCACTAACTACGCCTGCCTTATCATGCATCAGTATTCCACCAGGTTGTGCAGAGCCAGCCAGTCATGTCCACCTGTTCATTTTCCAACACACCCGGTGAAAAAATCCAGACAATAATCCTCACTCAAGTCTTCTGCAGTGAGGCATGCCTGTCCTGATCTTCCTCTTCTGAGTCAATTAAATTCATGATGTGTGTGTGTGTTATGTTCTCCAACCAGCGGAAAGCAGCAGTGACCGCCTCCACCTCCATTCTTAAGCTGGATGTTGTGGTATCACATGCTAGACTCTCCTGCACCATACGTCGACCATTAACTTTTGCTAAAAAACTCCAAGCACTTCTTTTGCTTCTTGACACTGAACCTTCTGTGTAAATTATCAAATCTTCTGAGCGAGCATTATCTTGAATTAATTGCTGAATTTCCACCTCACGTTTAAATCCCCACAGATGCCTAACCTATCACCTGGTAACTCCTCCAATTCCTTGAGCCAGCCCCATTGTTCCCTTCTGACAAAACAGTCTACTGTGGCATATATATTTATGAAGTTCCAGCTTAAACCACCAATCTCCACCTGTATCCCTTAAACCTCTCTTCCACTGGCTCAAGTCAAGCACTGCATACTTCACTTATTTTGTCACCACTAGACCTTGTCCATGTCTTTCCTGTCCAACAGGGTTTATATAACTGACGTACCCAGGGCAATGACATTTGTCTCTATTTAGCTCCTGGTGCATGATGACATCAAAATCAATCTCTCCAGTACAGGACAGCTCTACCTATCACTCCTACAGTTCCAGTATCCTACTCTTACAGGATTGAAGCCCAGTCTCTCCACCTTTTGTCTTGTTCTCCTAGCACATCCCCTCCTATTTCTATGCCTTCTTCTCTCCCTATTTCCTGATCATCTCCTCCTCACTCTCTCTTCACGAACTGCTGAAAAATGTGTCGAGCGCAGAGCAAGTACTCCGTAGCTCTGGCGACGATTCCTTTTTTTTTTTTTTTAAATACATATGCCAAAAAGAAAAGAGTGCTGCAGAAAAGGACAGGTCACCCTAGTATTGCCTGCCTGCTAGGGAAGGGGCAATGGATGTCTCATAGGAGTCCATACGTCAAGTGCCGCCTCGCACGCCCGCCAGATGTCCAACGTTCACGGCCAACTCCCCAGTGGCCATCCAGTTCCTCAACACGTTGGCCCACCTCAAACTTGGGGGCTTATATTCGGAGTTTTCCGTCTACTAGATGGACTGCTGTAAAAGGCTAACGGGTTCCATATTCCCGGGGAAAGGAGTTATAGCGCCCCGACCCGCTAGGCAGGCACGTCTCCGAGCATATGAGGTATTTTAATTTCACATCCCACCCTGAAACCCTGCCTCGCCCTCTGTGTCCACCGCCAGTTGGTCCATGGCTGCTTATTGGGTACTCACAGCTAACCTAATGTCTAGAGGCCGTTCCACAATCCGCCACCAGTAAACGCGCTGGGTTGGGGATGATCCCCCAGCTTTACCCATAAGATATATATATATATTATTCTTAATAATAAGAGTAAGAACTCCACAGGGGAGCATGTACAGCAGGAGTCTACCGATCATCAGTAGAAGATCCCTCGTTGACAACTGTTTCGGCCCATTACCTCTTCATGGTCATGACTCCCATGCTTCAGTCTTCTCCTGCTGCACTTTACCGGATGTTCTCGGACAGGGACAAACGAAATGGTGACAATGCAACGGGTACTGTGAGATTCGAAGTTAAATATATGTATTGTTGCTGCGGTAGCCCATTAGATCAGCCCACTGCCTTAACGACCAAGTGACAGGCTTACGGTTGGTACATCGGACAGGTGTTAGACTTTTGCAGTTGGCAGAGGGACACTTAAGACCCGGACCAGACTACCGAAGCCTACCCCCACGACATTACGTTGCGCCCAGAGCCAGCTCGAAGCTCTTCCAGCAGCTTCGCCCAGTTGTTTTATTAATCGTTTGCACTCGTTTACCCGCAAGCTTAGCTACTTAAGCACACTGTACATGCTATGAAATAAAGATGTGGGTCATGAATGATACAGGTATTGATGTGGACTCGTGGCAACAAAATGTCATAGACCGTGCTGTATGGAGGTGCACATCAAGAATGGACTGGGAGCTGAGCGTCTGAGAAGAAACAGACTAAAAACAAATGTTGATAACAACGATATTGAAATCCCATGCTATAATTGTGGAAGACTTCCTAACACAGGCTTGTCTTGCTAGTCACACCATCGCCATGGGCTGTGAGTCTCATGCCTCATCATAGCACAGCATAAAACTTTCGTCCGGATTGACGGAAAGGTGTCAATCAATGTGAGCCTATAACCCTTCTCCCCTTACCCCTTTTTTTACACACAGTTTGGTATATAGCTTGGGGAACGTATTATTTCAGATATAATAAGCTTACTGAAAAACCACAAGCAATCAAGTATGCAATGCAGGAAAAAAGAGGTACATTCACTCTCAGGTTTATTACAGTAGGTTTTAGTAGAGCCTGGAAAGATAGGCTCAGGTGTAGACTCCTGTAGATATTTTCTGGAAGAGTATGTATGTGTGAACCTCGTCGAGTCACCAGGTTCTGTCAGTTACCCTAGTTAAGAAACCTAAACCATACTAGTTGAGACAAAGCTTGATGGCAATGTCTCGTTTTTGGCTACGCCGATCTCAACTCCTAAGTCTATCATTCTGGCGAGTGATGTGGATTCACATCACACAAAATCTTACACCCTTCTAATTTCTCGGGGTAAATTTATAATATCAACATGATCCATAGAGTGACCGTCTGTAGTGATAGCGGATCCAGCCAACTTATCAGTTCTTTCATTTCCATCAAAACCCGCGTATCTCGGTACGAAAAAATAAGGTGCCTCCACGCACACTGGACTTCTGAAATGATTCAAGCCATTCCCTTTGCACCGAACCTGACGGAACCCTCCGGATCATACTCATTGAATCACTGATTACACATGCGCGAGTGTAGTTTTGTGTTTCAAGCTTGCGTTAATGCCATCACCTCTATCGCCATGCCGCTTGTTGTCATAAAGAAGACGACGTAGGCTTCTTCGACTGTTCTGCCCGCTGAGCGTGCTGTGAACGCCCATTCGCTTCTTTATTGGCGTAAAAAGGACCCGTCTGTGTAGATCAGTATATCTACTTCGTCTGAATTTTCACTAATGGGAGCGTTGACCTCTGTATTGACAGCAACACGATTCTGATCCCGGCATTGCTTGTCGAGTGACTCGATATAGGAAACTACAAATATACACACTATGCACGGTTATCCACTCTGCACCAGGAGTGATGTCGGTTAGGCTGCATATATGCCTGATAAAATCTTCTGCCCGACCAAGCCATGATTTCCCCCTCTTTAGCCTGTCACCATTTTCACCGAAAAGCGCTTGCCTGATCCTTTGGTTTATGGTTGGAAAGTAAAATAGATAGCTCATTAACTGTTTGATCAGTTTATCCCAAATTTGTGATCCTTAGATGCATAGACTTGATTGCTTCATATTCAAATCCGGCTAATATATTTTTCTCAATTCTCTTAAA